ATTCTGTGATTCTGTGATGTGCACACACACATATATATGTATATTAAGACCAAACCAGTTCTGTTACTTCCATTCCTGTGTCATTTGCAGAGATTTTTATAAGGCTATTGTACCAAGCTTTAATTTCTAATGTATGAAAAAGTTATATGATGTACACTCCTGGATATTCTGAATAAGAGGTACATTTTCAGCCTTGAGGGGAACAAAAGGCATGAAAACTCACAGCCACAGAGAGTGTTCTGATTAGGAGTACATGAAATCTATATATTGATAATTACTCCTCTCAAAGACAAATTTCTAAATTTAAGGTGATGTTTTGGCATGTCTTGATATCAAACTTTGGATGCAAATGATGACATAATAATCTAGATGTAATTTCTGGAGTATTTCTGTTCTGGTGATTTTGTCTAAAGAGATTGTGAAACGTTCTTATTTATTGGAAGGGGTGTTATCTAAAATACTAGAAATTGAAATGTGTGTAACACAAACCATTCAGAAATCATAATTTTATATATTTAATGAGACCTGACAAAGGAATTACTAAAAGGGTTGAAATAGGAAGTGTCACTTCATGGAGGAAAACCTCTTAATAAATGGGAAAGCAAAGTAATAAATAGAAAAGCAAAAGCAATAAAAAAATAAGCAATGAAAAAGTATTGTTTACCATTAAAGAAGAGGAATGAGTTTGTAAATCAAAAGGCAAAACCAGAGAATATTCAAGAATGGGGAAAAGACATTTCAGCTTGATTTCAGAATATTTTAATCAGGGAAAATTCAGCCAATGTTCTCCAAAATGGCCAAGGCAGATAAAAAATGAAGGAGAAACAAATACTAGATAAACCTGTTGAAGACTGATCACATGGTAAGTTGGCAACAGGATTCTTTCAGAAGACAGAATAAAGTTCTTACTGTCTTATGCGACACACTGAAAGCTTTATCAAGATGTTCTGAAGTCAAAGAACTTAGTCATGACAAAAGACAGAGTGAGAGATTTAGATTACTTCCTATTAGACCATACGTAACCTGTCATTTTTAATTTTGAGACAGAACGTGCTAGAGGTGAGGCTGAGGAAACAGCCTTGTGTGGTTTGGAGATGCATTCAGAGTACTTTTTTGAGTGATTGCTGCTGTTTGTTCCAAACAATGGGAGTAACTCACATAGATGATAGAATTTACAGACAAGAAATTAGTCCTTTTTCCTCAGTTCTTCCTGTAGTTAAAAAAAAAATGAAGGGAATTTAATTGCATCCTTTGATCAAAGTGATATTTATATGCGATCACAGTTGTTTGAAAACACTTAGAAAAGATCTGGACTTTGAGTGAAATCTTGCCTGTATTGAAATCAGGTTTATTTTCCCCAGATGAATTTTTTTTTTTCTGGTGCTCCATATTCAGGAGTAAGAGCATTTTTTTCTTTCTTTTCCCCCTTTTCTTTCTTTGTTGAGCAAAGCTTACAAACTGCAGAACTCCCAAAAGCAAAGCAGTTCTGTTCACACATCTGGCTTAACCAAACAGTCTCTTACCTGCTGCAAGACTTGTAGTTCTTAACTCCTCCTTTACCCAGCTACATGAAAATTCTTTTAAGAACTGGCTCTTTGGCTTACATTCATTTAACAGCCACAAACTCAGTAAAGTGACCAACCAAAACTGCAGTGAAATTGCCCATTCCCATCTAATATGAGCAGGGTTTGGAAAGAAAATTCATTTAGTTTTGCCAGTGATAAATGTAGCTGTGAAACATGTAGGTTCATGCTGCATTTTATCTCATAGATTCTTCAGCATCATATAGGGAACATATATTTCAAATCCCCCTTAGGGAGAAGCATTATAGTAAGAATTGTCAGGTAAGTTTTAGATTTTTACTCCAAATTAATACAATTTTGGAATAATCCAAAGAGGATTTTTTGTAGGGTTTTTTTTTTTGAAGGTGCTTTTCTGAGAGAAATAACTCTAATTCCATAGAAGCTCTCGTTATGTAATTTTAAATTGTGAGTAGTATATTTGTTGATAATTTCGTAATGCTACCTAGATTTGAGACTTACAGTGTTTTTATAAACTTTAGGTAACGTGTATTCATTTAGCTGTCTGAGTGGAAACTAATTGTAGGGTTTGTCTTCAGATCATAAAGGAGATCTGTAAATTTGAGTCTCCCCTGCTTTCCACATTTGTCCTGAGAGCAATGCCTTGTTGAACTGTCTTTTTCAGGGCAAGCTGTAAAATTTGTTTGTCCTTAATTTCTAAGGGTGTTTTGTAATAGAAGTGGGAATATACATGAAAACTCAAAGCCTTTCTTGTTAGTCTTACTTGGAACATTTAAAATGGTATTAATGTGTAGTGTTTGCAGAGCATTCCGTTTGGTTCTTTATCTCTGTCACCACATTTGCTACGTTAAACCCCTTTTGAAAGCTCTTACTACCTTTTCAGGTCTCAGTGGCTCAGACAAACACTTCTCCAGCAGTGACTGTGTTTTTTTTGCTCACTCTAGCTTCTCTCTTTTGACTAGTCAGTCTCTTATCCAGATTCTGCATACAGAAATGAGAGCAATTTGTCATGGTTTTGCTAAAATAAGTTTTAATTTCTGCCCAGTTTGGAAAATTATCATTTTCGTCTAATCGTATTTCCTTGACTGTGCATATAAGAGAACTTGGTGTTTGAGTGGTGGAAATATAAATAGCCCTTCATTTTCATTATATGGTTATTGCTGTAATGTGTAAGATTTCTGAAAGCTGATGATAATATAACATTTTGATTGTAAGTTTTTGTTTTTAAAGGGCGCTATGAAGATGTGTACGATAACCAGCTTAACTTGGCCTACTGTTTCAATGACCTTGAAGACAAATGGTTAAGTAACTACTTTTACGAGCAATGCTTTAACACTGCTCAACTAATAAAAATTGATGGTGGGAAAAGAGAGGCGCAAGCACATGCAAATATGGGCCTCATCAATGAGGAACAAGGTAAGTCACAGATCATAGTGCTACATCGTATCAGCATTGAGACAGTCCCATTTGGCAGTTCTTGTTTCCTCACGGGGCACAGTATTTCAATGTAAAATTGATGTGCAACCATAATTTAAAAGAAGTTTTAAAACTGTTGAAATTTTCATTTTTGGAGCAGCGAATAGAAAGACAAAGAAGTATGGAACTGTTCACAGACCTGTTTCCTTTGTTGACATTCCATCTCCATTTGAAAGTACTCAGTCAGATGAAAAACAAAACAGAAGTTTAAAGGAAGCATTTGTTTAGCACAAAGGTTCTTTGGGTTTGACCTTATTTCCTTTTGCTTGTTTTTGATGAGAGACTGGTAATGCTGCCTCAAGCCACCGATGTTTGAGCAGGATGGCATCTGTAGTTACACAAACTGGGTTGATTTAAAAGAGGTATGAACACATAATTTAGTTTAATCCTGCCACAATGATGGCAAATTTACACTTGGATAAAACAGCTTATAATTTAATTTTCTTTTTAACAACTGCCTTCTGGTTCTCTTGCCTGAAAATGACATCCTGTTTGTTTGTACACAGCTGCCATATTGGTGTTTGCTTCATGTTTATACCTTACCACAAGCTCCGTTTCTCCATTCATGTGTCTGTATCCTCAAACTGTGATTCTCTGAAACTAGAAAAAGATATTAATAGGAGTAACTAGAATCATAGAACAGCCCCGGCTGGAAGGGATCTCGTAAGATCATCTGGTCTAACCTTTCATGGGAAAGGGAACCTAGATAAGATTATTTTAGCACCCTGTCTAATCGCATCTTGAAAACTCCCTGGTGATGGGGACTCTTACCACATTTCTGGGGAGGTTATTGCAGTGAGTGATTGTTCTTGCTGTAAAAAAATTATTTCTTTCTTATATCAAGATGAACCTTGTTTCTATATTTAAAAATATGCATTACTTATCATGACAGAGGGGTTTGTGTGTGTATAGTAGTCTGGGTATAAAAAAGGTGTTTTCCTATGTTTGTATAAAAAATTCTTTCATCTTGTGGGAAGACGAGCAATGAGCGAGCCTCAAGTGACTGAATAAAACCTGCCTTTCAGTTCTAATTCCTAAATGTACTGGACACTTAATCATTGCTTTAAATATCTGTGATTTGTATAGTCACTATGTTTTTGTTTTTCGATTTGGCTTTGTGGGTTGAAACCGTTCCAACTTTGAGCTCAGCTTGTGGCTGGTTTCTCAAATAGCATTTCTTTTGTCAGAAAAAAATAAGATTCACAAAAATGTATATATTTTGTGGAAATAGTGTAATTCCAGTAATTGTCTGACAGAATGGGTATGTTTTAAAAGATGGCCTGATTTCCCAGCAAAAACCTGGACATAAAACACAAAATCTGCAGCCTTGGGTTTTTTCTAATTGAAAGGGTATTGTCCTGGTTTTTTCCATGTTCTCCTAAAGCTGAAACATCACACCTTTTTCAATATTTTCTCATACATTCTGGAGTGCTGGTCACTCACACTGTTTCCCTCTGAACTGTTGCCGTGTCTTTCTTGCCTGCAACACCCAGAGCTGGACTGAGTTTTAAAATCTGAGTTCATGCAAGTGATCAATAAAATGGAAGGATTACCTTTCTTACAAGTTGTATTTTTATTTGTGTTTTCAGGTACGACATCTACATTCTTTGTATCAACATAAATTGCATACTCGCATTCAGTTCATGATCTTCAGTAATCTCTAAATTATTTTCTGAAGAAGTTAACTAGTCATTCTGTTCTCCATTCTGGGATGACCAGTTAGTTCTGCCTAAATGCAATATTTTGCTTTCTTTTTGCACTGAGGATCATCCTGTGTTTTGTAGGTGGTTTCTAGGAATTGTCAAGACTGAATTCTGAAGTTGTCCTTCAACATGCTTTCTCTTTTTCCTCGTTTGGTATAATTTGAACATTTATTAAGCAGCCTGTAATCCTATAATTCAGGTTCTTAATAAAAGACTAAGTAGTAAAGTGGACCTAGGACAGGCACCTGTGGAACTTCACTGAGTGCCTTTTTCCATATTGACAGTGAACTACTGATAAATGGTGTCTGTATAGGATTTCCTAACCAATTTGCACTTACCGAACAATAGTTGCCAGTGAACTATGCTTCCCTAATGTTTACAAGAAAGTAACAGAGAGAAAAAATTTGCTAACTTAAAAAGAATATTGGTTTGATGACATTCACTCTTGATGTATTGGTGTTGGCTATAATATTTTCATGTTTTCTCTAAATGCTTGGGAATAGTCTGTTTGACTATCTATTTATTCAAGTGTTGTTCCAGGAACTGAAGTGAAGCTAAATCCAGTTTCCCAGTAGATAAGATTGCACTTGCTTAAAGCCCAGCCAGTCATAACCAAGTCATTTTCATTTTGAGTGAAAAATGCTTAATTAGGTTATCTGTCTGATAGTCAATAGAATCAAATGATTGAAGTTGCTGAATTTTTTGCAACCTTTTCACTTGGTCCTTCAGTTACTAAAATTAAAATTGTAAGAAGGTGCATAAAAGCAGACATCCCTATCTGTAGCTTCAAAGGCTCATACTGAGTGTGACTCACTACTGTTATCCAACCGCTGCCTAAAAAAAGGTAACATTTCCTACTTTTATGATGCTAGGCAAAAGTTGTTGAATGCTTAAATATCTTTAAGCTCATTACAAAAGCAGGTAAGTAAAGTTATGAAATACAATTTGAGATGCTCAGAGGAGGGGCAATTTCTTTTTCCTGCTGTAAAATGTTAGAAACTTCCAGAAGAGGGGTTTCTTGTTAACATTGGTAAGGAGAGATGAAGCAAGGTGCGTTTTCACTGCCCAGCTCCACTGAATCTGTAGCATCTTTCTTTTGCAAATATTTTATTTCCATAGAGAGAGGTGAAAAAATTAAGAAGCTGAGAGAGTAAGCGTAGGATTTGCTTTGAGCGACCACTGAGAAAAAGACAGCAGATGTATTCCGTGCACTTTTTATTTTCAGCAGATGAAAAATTAAATCACAAATTCT